GAAATATATATTTCATGGCAATTGTCAGAAACCTAACAATAGAAAAGGAAAAAAAAATGTAGTATGATTAAAACTAGTCAAACAACTATTCTCTCAATTCTTTTCTTAAGGTAGAATGTTCTAAAGTATAATCTGATTGTGTATTTCTGAAAATACACATAACATATATGGCATTGGGAAAATAAGCAGATTCTGTACCTTGAACCATGTGGTGTTCAACTGACAGAGAGAAGGGTCATTGAGAAATTTCTTTGTAATGACATATGATTTCTTCTCATGAGAATAGTTATCATAGATAGTGTCATCCATGTAACATTCACTGTACACTGTCAAATTAATCCAGGCATTTTTATCTCCATTTCTTCAACAGAAAAAAACATCAGTTAATGCATGCAGGAGACATTGCGAAGTATCTATACAAACTGTCTTGAGACACGTTAGCTAAGCCAAACCAGAGATGCACCTGGTCACCACTCATGCTGTCAGAACAGTGATAAATGAAAGTACAGGAAAGCTGACTGTTTATCTAGCCATTATTCACAATGCTAATTATGTGAAACAATTACAAGTCTACATCCAAACCCAGAACACAAGAAGGCTGGTTGCCCCACCTCCCTCAGTTACACATTGCTTTTGGTAAAACTGTGTGATAAATAAATAAATGTGTGGGAATGTAATTTACGGTTACAATGGACTCAAGTCCATTGAAGTTTGAAGAAGTAGACCCCATCATTGTAACATTTATCTACAGACAGTTTGATGAATCAAAGTACAAAATACTCCCTTCCCAACAAGTAAGGAATCATGCATCATGATATTACTGTAATGTGAATGTGCTGAACTAGCAAATGACAGCATTTACTTCAGCTCTGCTTAGAATGACACAATCTGGTCCTGGTCAGGTTGCCTGCTTCTTGTTTAGGTACCTTATCATGCAGGAGTACACAGCATAATCAGCATACATACTGTTAGATCACTCACTTCTCCATGCAGGTGTACATTCCGCTGTCATTCTTTAATACTTTCATCATAAACAGCATGTCTTTCTGTTTAACCTGTGGTCTCCCAACCTCCTCTATCAGCTCCTGGAGCCCCAGGGAGGAATTCTTTCTCCAGACCAAGGAAGAGGATTTTAGGGGACATTTAAGAACTGCTATTTCCCCCTCCCGGAAAAAGACATTGGCAGGAACTCCAGAACGCCGATACATCGATGCAGCGCAGGAAAAAAAGCCCTCGCAGTCTTTCTGTACTCCGTCAGAAGCACAGGTCTCTGTAGAAGGACAACAAGATGTTAGCTGTAGAAATTTATATCAATTATTTTATTGTGCTTGACTCTCAAACACTCTGTTATAATTATTTGTAGTCGAACTGCTAATGCTAAGGCTGCACCAGGCAGTATAGGACAAAAAGCAGGAAGGGGTCCTGGAAAGGACGCCAGTTCAGTACCGGTCGTAGCCGATGTGGCCCAAGGTCACACACATAACGAAGTCACGCTTGCACAAACGCACATACACACACATAACTAAGTCACGCATGGAGAAACGCACATAACGAAGTTATGCATGCACATACACACACATAAAAAACACATGCACATACACCCACATACACATACATAAAAAAGTCACGCCTTCACAAACGAACATACACACACATAAAAAAGTCACACATGCACAAACGCACATACAAACACATAGCGAAGTCATGCATGCACAAACGCACATATACACGCATAACGAACGCAGGCATGCACACACATACACACATAACGAAGGCACGCATGCACACACGCACATACACACGCATAATGAAGGCACGTATGCACAAACGCACATACACATGTATAAAGAAGTCACGCATGCACAAACGCACACATAAAGTCACGCATGCACAAACGCACATACACACAAATAATGAAGTCACGCATGCACAAACGCACATATACACGCATGATCTCTACAGTTGCCCAATAAGTTGTCCAGATCTCAGTGCTTGAATTGGGAAAAAAATAAGTGCAGGAACTCTAATTTTCTCGGGCCACTGTCGCTGCATCGGATCAGTTTCAGTAAGTACCGGAACGCAGAAAAAAGTGGCGGAACCCAAAAGACGAAAATACAGAAGTTCCGGAACTGCGTTCCGCTGCGTTCCGGCCCACTTCAAGCACTGTAAATAATTATAATTATCATTAAGTGAAATATGCATGCATTTAGACGGCTAAGCTAAACACACAAAATTGGCACTTAAGGTTCTACGGACAGACATTTCAGTAATATCTCAACCTCACATGAGCAACATTACACGTGGATTCTCCAGCATAAACATTACAACATATGTTGTTAAGAGATCCGGGTGTTCCGTTATGCTGCCTTGTCGAAAAATGCTACCGTAGTGCTATCGATAGCCCTAACCCTAACTCTTACCCTAACCCTAACCCCCCAAAACCCTAACCTTAACCCTAACCCTAACCCCTAAAACCTAACCCTAATCCCAAAACGGTGGAACTGCACATGCGCAGAAAGGCTCGATAGCACGTCTCGATAGGTAGTATTTTTCGACAGAACACCGGCAGCACTCAGCATCCGCTGCTAACATCTTTACTGCGAAACATTAACCTGAACAACATGTGCACACTTTAAATATTTTAAACATCCTCAAACTTCACTCAGAATCAATAATTACAACTTTATCTTATGGACGCACACAAGTCCTGATGATGATCTTAATTAGGAACAACAACAGCCGATGCGTGAAACCCGAACTCTAGAGAAAATGCCCGCAACTCACTCCAAAGAGGGGCGGATAACAATTTTAAAGGTCCCAGCGCAACAACACTTAAGAAAACTTGTTCCTATCTAAACAACTACAGTACACTCTCTATAACATCTGTTGGACGAAGGAGGTAATTATAATCTATTAGAGTATGATATTTTTATGGACAAAATCAATTAGGAGTGTACTGAGAAACAATATAAAGTGGTTATTAAGGCAATCCCACAAGGAATGTTGAATATGGTTAAAGGAGCGATGCTTTATATCACATAAGTCCGAACTAACCTTTTCCCTGTATTGATGAACTTGACTTTAAAGGGAAAAAATGCACGAAGTCTTAAGAAATACTCTTACCTCTAGGTTATTCCCTCTTCCATTGAAAAAAAAAGAGATTACCCTGAAGAACAGAAGTTGGGAACTTCTTCAAAATTGGTTAAATGTCAAAGATAATCTCTTACACAAACTAGAATTTCATGATGTTAAATTTGGTGGTCTCATGCATGACAAAAAAGAGATATAATATACAATACTATAATTTTAATGGCCAAATAATTTATTCATAGGTGCAGATTCTATGGGTCCAAATCCTTATTTGTAGCTTTCATGAAAGAACTCTTGAATTTAGAAAAAAAACATTGAAATACATGAAAACAACAAGCCTTGTTCGTTTCTCAGTTCTTCCATAATTTATTGTATGAATAGACCCACTTTCATCTTTTTCTTTTATTTTTATTTACTTTTATTTCACTTTATGTATCTCTTTATGTTTTGTTCATTATTTATTTCATTTATCTATTTGTATTTTGCTAAAATGGCATACAGTATTCTCAGATTTTTGTATATGCTCGGTTATGCGGTGTAATACTTGAGAAATTTGTAAGCTATATGGTGTTGTTCAATAAAGTTCTTTAAGAAAAAAATAAAACAAAATAAATAAATAAATATAAAAAAAACGCACGCACATACAGTACACACGCATAACCAACGCAGGTCTGCACACAAGTACGGGAGGAAATCAGCGCCTAACTGTGGCAGCACAACGGAATTCAACTCCGTGTCCCCGGAGATGTGAGGCCACAGTGCTACACGCTGAGCCCACTGTAATAACTGTCACTTTCTATTAAACAAACCACACCGAAAACACTGGCAGATCGTTTTCTTTTGAAATACCTTTAAACAGATATATGGCCAACAGCAACATCTTCCACTTCATGTTTAACGAGACCTGTCTAAAAAAAAAATCATTAACAAAACAGGATTACAACGTAATTACTGATCACACTCAGACAACCCGATAAACGTACCTTAATTTCTATTGCAATGCGTTTGAATGAATTATTTCGCAAATTAAATACAAATAAATACAAAACAAATACTTTATAGGGCTACCTTCATAAAACGGAAAATTAGATGATTCTGGGAGTTTATAAAGTAGAATGACAGTTTCGTTTTTTTCTCGTTTCTCTTCCGAGTGTTGAAAAAGCTGACGCATGTTGACGGGCAAGCCCCTTTCTGCACACCGCAAGAAAATTTTGTTTCGCCTACTTACCGAAAAGCACACGCACTTTTTATACGTACTGTAAATATTAAGACTTGATCTTGACCCTGGTTTGGACTACGGTCAGAGCGACCACTTTAACAACTGTGACATTCCGCATCCTATTAACTAATATATAATATTAAGTGGCATTTTTACATTATTTTACATATTTTACATATTGTTAAATATTTGCGGAAGACCGCATACATACAATACGCACCCACGTAGAAAAAAAAGATTTATTTGACACCAGAGTACAAGGGCTGCTAATTTGTCTTAATTTATTCTTAATTTTATAACTCATCCAGGTTTGTATACCGTTTATCCACAATGCTTTTGATTTAATGTCACTACAGTAATATCAATTAAAAAAAACAGAAGACAGTAAAAGCTATTTTGATAGGAGAATTCTTTCTTCTCCNAAGTGGTTATTAAGGCAATCCAACAAGGAATGTTGAATATGGTTAAAGGAGCGATGCTTTATATCACATTAGTCCCACAAATACCTTTACTCTGTATTGATGAACTTGACTTTAAATAGAAAATACTCTTAAGAAAGTCTTAAGAAATACTCTTACCTCTACGTTATTCCCTCTTCCATTGAAAAGAAAAAATATATATTAAATGATTAGCCTGAGGAGCAGAAGTTAAAAATTAGATCCGGATACCTCACTCTCCCCATTTCACCAAAAGCTAAAGAATCTCACTGCAGAATAATTAATGGTATTTACCCTTGTCACAAATTTCTAAGGAAAAGATTCAATAATGATAAAAAATAACTGCTCTTTGTGAGGCTGATATTGATTTTTTTTCTTTTGTACCCACACAAAATCTCATTGGGAACTTCTTCAAAACTGATTAAATGTCAAAGATAATCTCTTAACCAAACTAAAATTTCATGATGATAAATTAAACGATGTTGTCATGCAGGACAAAATATATACACAATACTAAAATTTTAATGGCCAAACAATTTATTCATAGGTACAGATTCTATGGGTCCAAACCCTTATTGTTAGCTTTCATGAATGAACTCTTGAATTTTGAAAAAACATTGAAATAGATAAAAACTAAACAAGCCTTGTTTGTTTCCCAGTTCTTCCATAATTTGAGCTATTGAATAGACCCACTTTCATCTTTTTCCTTTATTTTTTATTTACTTTTATTTCACTTTATGTATCTCTTTATTTTTTGTTCATTATTTATTTCATTTATCGATTTGTATTTTGCTAAGATGGCATACTGTATTCTCAGATTTTTGTATATGCTCAGTTATGCGGTGTAATATTATACAGTACTTGAGAAATTTGTAAGCAATATTGGGTTGTTCAGTAAAGTTCTTTAAGGAAAGAAAAAAAAACGAACGCACGCACATACACACGCATAACCAACGCAGGTCTGCACACAAGTACGGGAGGAAAACAGCGCGAAACTGGGCCAGCACAACGGGATTCAACTCCGTGTTGCCGGTGTTCTGTCGAGTTGAGCTACTTTGTCGAGTTAGGCTACCGTAGTGCTAATCGATAGCCCTAACCCTAACTCTTACCCTAACCCTAACTCCTAAAACCTAACCCTAATTCCAAGACGGTGGAACTGCACATGCGCCGAAAGGCTCGATAGCACGTTTCGATAGGTACAGTAGCTCAACTCGTCAGAACACCGGAGGTGTGCGGCGACAGTGCTACACGCTAAGCCCAACATAAAAACTGTCAACACACCCCACCGAAAACGCTGACAGATCGTTTTCTTTTAAAATACCTTTAAAAAGATATATGGCCAACAGCAACATCTTCCACTTCATGTTTAACGAGACCTGTCTAAAATAAAAATCATTAACAAAACAGGATTACAAGGTAATGACTGATCAGACACCCCGATAAACGTACCTTAATTTCTATTTATTTCCGAAATCCTTTTATAAACTCCGCGTTGATAAGTCAGTGCATTTTAATTATTTCGCAAATTGAAAGCTGAACTAATAGTTGACGAGCAAATTACAATCTAATAAATACAAAACAAATACTTTATATGCCTACCTTCATAAAACGGGAAATGAGATGATTCTGGGAGTTTATGAAGTACAATGACAGTTTCGCTTTTTTCTCGTTTCTCTTCCGAGTGTTGAAAAAGCTGACGGATGTTGACGGGCAATCCCCTTTGCACGCCGCAAGAAAATTTTGTTTCGCCTACTTACCGAAAAGCACATGCACTTTTTATACGTAAACATTAAGGCTTGATCTTGACCCTGGCTTGGACTACGGTCAGAGCGACCACTTTAACGACTGTGACATTCCGCATCCTATTAACTAATATATAATATTAAGTGGCATTTTTACATTATTTTACATACACTCACCTAAAGGATTATTAGGAACACCTGTTCAATTTCTCATTAATGCAATTATCTAATCAACCAATCACATGGCAGTTGCTTCAA